AAAGTCAAACTGCATCAACGACTCGCGTTAAGGTACGTTAAGGTGTATCTCCTCCCACCTATGGAATTACACCCAACCAACCAACCAACCAACCAACCAACCAGTTACCGTTTCCTCGTTTACAGATTATTTCAAGAGGACGTGAAGCAAGTTTTGGACTGGTTGACCAATCACGGCGAAGTTTTTATCAGAAAGAACACAGGTGTGGGTCGGAATCTTCAAAAGGCAAGAGTATACCAAAAGAGTCACGAGCATTTTGAAAATGTCGCTCAGGTAGTAACTTTAACGTTAACGACGACGATAACGATGCGACAAATGTAACGTTAACGATGTTACGTTAAAAATGTGTTTCATTTGTTCAGAATACTTACACGAATGCTACTAAACTGCTTACCGCCGCGCAAGAACTGGCACACACGGGTGAGTGCGCTGCCGACGAGATATACGCCGTGGCGCAAGAATTAGAAGCTCACGTTAGTAGCTTTGCGGCAAGAGTCGAGCAACGTCGCCGAAGACTGGATCTGGCGGTTGTGTTTTATACGCATGAGAAAGAGGTAAAACGCGAATGGCGACGCGAGTAATTGTCGCAAGAGTTCCAAGAGAGACCATTACTACTAGACTACTACACTTACGAGTGTTTCGAGTGTTTTAGTTGAGCGGTTGGGTCGACGAATTGCGACAAGAATTGCAACAGGACGAAGTAGCGGAGAATCTGGAGACGGCGAAAAGACTGCTGGAACAGTGTGCGCAGCATCGAGCCTCCTGCATGGAAGCTTGCGCCTCGACTATCGTTCAGGGTGAAGCGTTGCTTCGAGAACTTCGAGAATCTACCGACGCTCCCGATACTACCGGCTCCGTGAGTCGCCTTGCCTTTCTTTTCCCTGAACTTTCTTTTCCTTCATTCTCTACGTCTATAGTCTAGTCGTCGACTATATAGAATATCGACTGGAGAAAGAAAGCAGACGAAACGAGACGATATATGATATTTTCAGATATCCGCGGTAGAAGCCGCCCTGGACAGGTTAGCGGGCTTGAGGCAAGAGCTGGAGGACTTGTGGGCTACGAGGAAATTGAGACTCGAACTGTGTCTACGATTACGCGTGTTCGAGAGAGATGCTTTGGAAGCGAGCGGTCAGTTGGAGATGTGGGCGCAAGAATTGCAAGGTCCACCTCGAGAAGGTTCCCCCGAGCAACTGTTGCGCGTGCACAACGATGGCGTTGCTCATATGCAAAACACTGCATTCCAGGTTCTGCAACAAGGTCAAGAACTCGCTCAGGTAAGAAGACGAACGCCGCGTACCTGCGTGTGTGTACTGATTTTGAAATTGAATTGTAACGAACAAAGTCGTAGTCGTAGTCGTAGTCGTTATTGTTGTTATTATTGATACACGTTATTGATCGTACAGGAGTGGGTTCCAGAAAGCAATCTTTAAATGAAATTAAACTCTCGAAACTCTCAAACTCTTTAACTTGTAGGAACGCGAGTTTCTCAACCGCGCAAAGATGATTACACTTTTGCGTAAACATTTTCATTGGTTTACAAAAATATCCAGATTTTTGTTTAAACACG